ATATATAGTTTCATGCTCTAGAATTTATAATGCACTTTCACAAGTGGGGAAAATAGCTCCAAAAACATACAGTCTACTGATGACTAACAGAGACAGGAAGGAGGAGCTGAAGCTTTGAAAGAGGTCTATTAACTATGCAAATTGTGAAGTTTTCTGTACTTGTGAGGAGCATAATAAACATTAGAACCAATTAGAAGTAACAGTGCATGATATACTCAGGTTTCAGAACTCTGACTGAAAAGCCAAAGGAATACAGCATAGGAGTTTTAGGGCAAGAATTTAACTTACCTGAAGTTAACCAATCCCAGATGGTTCATATGGCTTTATCTTGTACTCTCTGAAAGGCAGTTATCTGCAGATTGGTTAATTTTCATGTACAAACTAGAGTACAGCAATGATTTAAAATTACATAACTGTAGAAACAAAGATGTGTTCACAATTTGGAGACAAAACATATGGGATTGGAACAGGCACAGCAAATAAGTCCTCAGGAGTCAATGTTAACTGGATGTTTCAATGCAGAAAAATGTGACATGCTAAATACAAAACTTGTAATAATAGAAGCTGTTATGTTAACTTTCTCACAGCCTTCTGAAGTAGTTCTTCATGTGAGAATTTTTATGTTTGGACAATGCTCAAAAGTTCATTTTTAGAAATGGAAAAAAGTGGAGGTGTATTTTAACATATTTCATTGGTTCTGTAATGTTACAAGATGAAAGAATATACCTTTTTTTCTGTTAGAAAATGGTCCTGTTGAAATTCACCTCCCTTAGAAGTAAAAAGAGAAGGAGGAGGAGGAGGAGGAGAAGGAGAAAGAGGTGGAAAAGGAAGATGAGGAAGAAGAGGCGGAGGAGGAGAGTGTGTGCATGCTTGCGTGTGTGACTGGGGTCTGAACCCAGGACCTCACTGAGTTACATGCCCAGCTCTCTTTCCATTATTTTATTCTGAGACAGGGTATCTGCTGAGCTGCTAAACTGTCCAGGTTAGACTTGAACTTGCAATCTTTCTGCCTCGGTCTCCCAGAGTTCTGGAATTATAGCTATATGCCATCATGATTAGCCACACAAATAATTTCTAAATATCAGGCTCTGCCTAAATGGTCTTAGCTTTATAAATGGAAAGGGAAAAATCAGAATTTCACGCAGTTATCAAATAAGCTAATGCCCAACTGATACATTTGTAACAGTCTATAATTTCTTAATATTGACAGGCAAAATTCCAGAGAGACATTTCCTTTCCATTCTCCACATGTATCTATATTTTTTGGGCGTTTTTGCTCAGCAGCAGACCTTAAGGATAAGGTTGACACAGGTATGGTGGGAGACAGAAAGACTGGACAAAGATGTGGCAGAAAGAAAGGCCTTGCTTTGCCATGTGGAAGAGGAGGTCTATGCTGGACAGAGCCCAAGACAGCTCAGTTTGTGTCTCACAGTCCAAATTTGGTTGATGTATTTTTGAAGCTTCTAAAGGTTAACTCACATGCTGTAATATATTATGGAAAGACATGAAGCTGAATTTTACTGTGCCAGTCAAGAGGCTGGCTTGAATCTCCTATTTAGAACCGAGAGAGACAGTACAATTTACATGTGTGAGAATGTGAGAATAATTTTACCTTCTGTTGTTTTTAAAACCACCTTGGGCCATGATTTTTAAGTGGAGACACAAGAAGATCTGCTGGGGTTCCCATAGCAACATTAACTTATCTCAACTGCCCTTGTATGCAATACTTTCATGACTAGTTTGGCTTTTAAATGTACACTTTAATTATGAAATAAAACTAAGTTAAAATCTCAGGCAAATTTTGACTTTTACACTTTCTGATGTATGCATATTTACATAAAAACCTTAATGATTGTCTTTCTAAGGACTAAATACCAAGGCAAGTTTCTGCAAAACCTTTCTGTGGTCTTCCTTGTCACTAATCTCTGATCTTACTCAATTTCATTCTGCAGACAACTCTTAACAAATCCTCTAAACACATTCATGAAACTGTGTGGTGAGGAGGAAACAGAAACCAACCAACCTCAGATGTCTCCAGTTGAAACTAGAAGTCAGCATACCTACTGTTTCAGGCTCCTTACATGTAGAAACACTCTGTCCTCATCAATTACATCCCACAGCCAACAGCCGCATCTTTTAATGTTCCAAGAACAGAAGGTCAAGGACTACCCTGCAGCCCACCTCCTTCCAGAAGCCAGATTCTTCCCATTTTCTTTTCACAGCTGTTGTCTCTTTAGAACTATGACTACTGTTATCACCACTGTGTGTTTTGATGGTGAAAAAACAGCATCCTTCTGCCTCTTTTTTGATGACAGTGTCTTGATTTTCCTCTGAGGAACTTCCTTCAACTCCATTCTTTCTGGTGGTCCCACCAAATAAGATTCCCTGTCTCAGCCTGTCTGGTATTGGCCAAGACCTAAGTTGGACTGATGATATCTTCTAAGAAGTT